GACGCAGGGCAGAGCCAGGGCCCCACGGAGGACTATGCACAGTAAGCCCAGCGGCGTGCTACCAGCAGCCACAGGCACATGGCCTGCAGCCAAAGCAAACCCATTGGCTGGCATGACTCGGAACGTTGCAAGGGAAAAATGGATGTGAGGACGTTGTTCCAAGCAAATGACTAGACTTGTCCTCTGTCTCCTGCTTTATGGCCCAAGCCCTGGACTTGTTCATCAACTGGCTCCCTGCGCCTTTGGTGTGGAGATGGAGGGCCACCATGTCTCCTAGCAAGTGAGAGGGGGCAGGATCTCAAGGAGCTAAATGAAGGTCCTTCAAGGGACCACATAGAGTGTGAACCTCCTCACTGAGCAGATGAGGAAACTGAAGCTGGGAACAGAATCCAGGACCGGCTCACTTTTTGTCATCTGGTGCCTCTGAAAATATCCTGTCCCTGGTCATTTGATTTCCATGTGAAAGGCCTGGGGCAGAAGAGGGCTGGGCCGAGCGTGGTATGAGCAGATTGAGGGTTATGCAGCAAGATATGAGGGGAGAGGGGTCTAACGAGACGTCCTTTCCCTGGAGTATACCAGATGCCTTAGTTGAGCGTTTGAATGGTGACAGGGTCTGAGTATCTGCGACCGGCCTCAAGCTCGTTCTTCCCTTCCTCCGCTGGACATTTACAAGACAGCTGAGGATGAGTTTGGACCCTAATGAACATAATGTTTCAGACCCCCAGCAAGGGTGGACGGGCCCTATTTCAGGCAGGCCCCAGTAACTGGTATCAGTGCTTTCTGCCTCCCCTCCCCCGTGAGCCCCAGTAATTGGTATCAGTGCTTTCCATCCTCCCCCACCCCCATCGGCCTTGGCTATTAGGAAGCACTGCGGTGAGTATAGATTGAGGAGTGGAGAGTGGACGTAGCCAACACTCAAATCAATGCAAAATGTCTCCTCAAAGCCACTCTTTGTGAGCCCAGTGAAAACAGAAAGGAGCTCTGGAGGCTTCCTTCTGCCATTGTTGCCTCGGGGTTCTTCCTTGGGGCAGAGCTAAACAGAAGGATCCTGTTTTCACCCTGTTGTTGTTAGGTGCAGTCAAGTCGGCTCTGACTCACAGCGACCCCATGATAACTGGGAAACTTTGCCCAGTCCTGCACAATGGTTGCTATGTTTGAGCCCACTGTTGGCAGTCACTGGGTCAATCCATCTCCTTGAGGGTCTGCCTCTTTTTTGCTGACCCTCTACTTTACCAAGCATGATGTCCTTCCCCGGGGACTGGTCCCTCACCCTAAGTTTATACAACTTCTCATACTTTATCCTCACTGGTCCATTGGAGAAACTGAGGCAGAGACTCCTGCAAGCTCACGCCTTCTGGAACTGGGCTATACCCTGCTCTGTCCTCATCTTATCTATCCATGTACCCAAACTTTAAAGGAGCCCTGGTGGTGCAGTGGTTAAGAGCTACAGCTGCTAACGAACAGGTCGGCAGTTCAAATCCACCAGCCACTCCTTGGAAACCCTATGGGGCAGTTCTACTCTGTCCTATAGAGTTGCTATGAGCTGGAAATTGGCTCGATGGCAACAGGTTTGGTTTTTTTTTTTTCTGGTGGTACAACTGTTAAGCTCTTGGTTGCTAACCAAAAGTTTTCGGTTCGAACTCACCTAGTGGTCCATGGTAGAAAGACCTAGCAATCTGATCCTGTAAAGACTGCAGTCTAGACAACCCTGTGGGGGCAGTTCCGCTGTGTCACAGGGGGTCGCTATGAGTCAGAATCGACTCGACGACACCCAACAACAACAGCCCATAGCTTCTTCAGATAAGGGCTGAGGAGAGCACATTCGTGGTGCGTAAGGACAAACTGGCCGCCTGGGTGGAGCAGACAGTTAAGCGCTTGATTACCAGCTGAAAGGCTGGTGGTTCAAACCCACCCAGAGGCGCCTCAGAAGCCAGGCCTGGCAGTCTGCTTCCAAAAGGTCACAGCCTTGAAAACCCTGTGCAGAAGTTCTACTCTGCACACATGGGGTGGCCATAAGTAGGAATCCATTTGATGTTAACTAAGAACAAGGAGAGATCAAAAACCCTTTTACTGACAGTTTGTTCCTTCTGCCACACTAGACGGAGTGCTGACAAACCAGAGGCAGTGCTAGAAAAGAACCGACTTGAGGAGAAGGCTGGGGCACCGCGCCTGTGCTCGCGCGGGCTGGGCCAGAAGAAAGTGAGCGTCCGCCACTCACCATGTCTTCCACTCACCATGTCTTTGATCTGGCAGTGCCCGTAGCTGAAGACGATGGCGTTGGGGGGGTTGCCCACGGGCAACATCACTGCAAAGGAGATGCACATGGTGACGGGGATCAGGGTGTAGAGCGGGTTAATGCGCAGCGTTTCGGACTGCGGGGAGAGAGAACGCACAGACGTCAGGCTGAGGTCCGACTCGGGGGGCCTTCAGTCCCCGAGCTCACACCATGTGCACGCTTCAGTGATGCCTGGGCGTGGGTGGGCCTCACTGCACCCTCACGCTGGGGTCATTGGGTCCCTGCCCGCACGGTGGCCCCGGTGGGTTGATGCTGAGCGCTCACTCCCATGGGGGCGTGAGCTCTGAGTTACCTCCTAGACGGGGTGTTTAATTTCTGGGTGCTGGTCTATGGAAGTGGTTTTCAAACTTTATTCTCCAGCTGAGAAATCCTTTCTCCAAACAAAAATCCCATGCATCAGCTGCACTGATGGAAGCAGGGATCCCTCCCCACTGGGGCGCAGAGCTAAGGTTTTCTTCTCGGTAAGATAATTGCTTGTAGGGCTGGAACCCACAGTCTGGCTTGTCAAGTTTTAACTGAGCGCCCACGCTTACACCAAGACAATGGGAGGGAGATGCTGGAGACGTCTGAGCACTGGGCAGAGACTGCCGGGGAACAGGGAAGTCTGGGGTTAGATGGAGCGGGAGGATGCGGTTTTGTTGGGTGAGGGTTGGGGAGAAGCCTTCATTCCTAGAGTGGGGAAGGGGCAGTGTGGGGTCAGGTGTATTACTTTGGGGTGGCTTAGCCACACAAGATCCGGCAGTTGTTCCCGCCCCTTTCCCAATAATAGCAAATCTGTCTGAGGCTGTGGGACAAGGCTGGTCTTGCTCCCAATTCTCAGAACCCCCTGGACAGTGAAATTGGGTGCAGGTGATGATGACGGTGGCAGCTGTGATCTCGGGCTTTGCAGCCGTGTGTGTTTCAGGGAGCATCTGGCCTCCATTTCTTGAGGCCACCTCTTTAGCTCCCCTGTAGGGTCTTATCTCTGGAGGGAAAGGTGGAGGCTGATTGTGGGGAATTGGGACCCCGGGGTTTTAAGGTTATTTTGTCCGCTCTTTTGTATCTTTTGTGCCCAGGGGAGCCCTCTGGAACCTTTGCTGGGGATGGATTGATTTAGACTACCCCTAACCTAAACCAGTCCTGGAGCCCTGGTGGCACAGTGGTTAAGAGCTCGGCTGCTAACCAAGAGGTCGGCAGTTCGAATCCACCAGTGGCTCCTTGGAAACCCTATGGGGCAGTTCTACTCTGTCCTACAGGGTAGCTATGAGTTGGAATTGACTCGATGGCACTGGGTTTTTTTTTTTTTTTTTTTTAAACCAATCCTAGTCTCTAGGAAAAGAGTTTCCAGAACTCTTGCTATGGTGAATTACTTTATCTGTTTATTTACCAGTTGCTATTTGAAAAACTTCATTTTTCAAACCATGGTTTGAACACCGATCGTGAAGGCGGGGGCAGTGGCCTAGGAGGGGGCAGGCGCAGAAGCTGCTCTGGGACCTGCCTGCAGCCCAGCACCACCTGGACCCCAGGGGGCCCGCCTGCTCACCAGGCTGCACAGGATGGGCAGGAAGATGGTGATGGTGGCCGGGTTGCTCACAAACTCGGTGATGATAGACACCAAGATGCACGCCAGCAGGGTGACTGCCCACGGAGGGAGGCTGCTCAGGGACAGCATCTGGTGCCCAATCCACGTGGAGAGGCCAGAGCTCTGCAGGAGGAGAAGGCCAGGCCGTGATGAGGAAGGAATTCTCAGGCCTCAGGGGCCGTCTGACTTGTCTCCCTGTCTTCCGCCGACTAAGCCAGAGCCCTCCCTGCTCTTTATGATGAGGTCGTGCCTGCAGCCCAGAACATTCTTCCCTAGGATTGTACAACATCCAATCCTGTAGGCACCTAGGCTGAGGGTTCCTAGTCAGGCGCTGTCACGGGCGTGGGGACCCATCCACCCTGACTGCAGCGGTCCTTCCTAGGACGTTGGCATGAGGCCTGGGGGGTGGGGTCCATAAGGCGATCGGCCCCCCACCTCCATCTCATCACTCTTCCCCAGCCTCTGCGCGTTGAACCAACATGCCCTGTGCCCTCTCCCAGACCGCCATGTGTCATCCTTAACTCTGCTTTTGAAATCCATTTCTCTTATTACCTGAGAAAGAGAAATGTATCAGCATCTTCGAATAGTAATCTTTCCCGTAGTTTTTTGGGGGGCATGAGCGGGCAGGGCTGAACACTGGAAGATTTACATGAGTAATGAAGGAGCAAGAAAGTAAGTCAATCTCCCTGACCTATGAGCAGTCAGCTGTTCGGCCTCCACCTGTTTTAGCTTCAGATCTCATCATGGCTGACACTGGGATCCACCATCTGCCAGTGGTTTTTGACAACGCAAGGCATGAAGGTGTATTGCCATTTCCAAACCCTTATACACATCCACTCGAATGAATGGTTATTCTCATCTGGAATAATTCACTTGGTTGGAAGATGTTCATTCACCAATGGTGAAGGCTGACCCCACCTCTAAAAATGAGTGCGCCGTTGAGTTTTTGAACTAAAAACCCCAGGATGGGATATGCATTCTCCCTCTCTCCTTCCCTCCTTGTCTGCCTTCTATGGTTGATATGCTCTGACTTTTTCTACGGTATCCTAAACCAAAAACCAAACCCACTGCCGTCGAGTTGATTCCAACTCATAGCGACCCTGAAGGACAGAGTAGAACTGCGCTATAGGGTTTCTAAGGCTGTAAATCTTTATGGAAGCAGACTGCCACATCTTTCTCCCGAGGAGCAGCTGGTGGGTTTCAACCGCTGACCTCTTGGTTAGCAGCCAAGTGCTTTAACCACTGTACCACCAGGGCTCCCTTACGGTATCCTAGAGACCACAAATTCCATACAGCAATGGGGAGTAGGGGCAGGAAGCAAGGTGAGACATTTATGTTAGGATTCCTCAAGCTACTCATGTTTTACTATTAAAGACAACCTTTACTACATCGTCAGCAGGCTACGTTGTCTCCTCTTTTCCAAATTCACCAGAAGCTCATTGGGCTCTACGGCAACCTGGCTGCCTCATGGCAAGTCACAGACAACCGAGGACCAGAGTCCTCCGGATTTCTCTGTTGGCAGCCAGTTCACCTGGCAGAGCTTTTCTTTCTCTGTCCTCAGGACTGACCACGAGCTGCAAACCCAGTATGTGTGGACTTGCACCAGTTAGCGGTTGGCACAGCACCAGAGCCCTGCACTGTTTCCCTTTGGTACCACATTAAACCTTGCTGACTGGACAAAGTCAGGGAGCAAGAGCAGTTGGCTGGGTGGGGCAGACATCCATCCTGTCTCGGCTGCTCCCTCCCTAGTCCTCTGGTGAACATTCACCTCTCCCCCCTCAGCTTCTTTGCCTCCTCCCTCTCGGAGCTATGAAGACTTAGTGGGTGAAGCTGCTGGAAAAGATTTGGCCCACAGAAAGAGAACACAAGCGGTACCTTGCTGCCTGAGGCCAGGGCGTAGCCCCCTCCCACCAGGATGACGATCTCCCAGGGCATGGTCTTCTGGAAGTCCTTCCATGTGATGATGGGCTCCGTCCCCAGTGAGGGCTCACGAGGCTCTCCTGCTCACAGGCGGACAGAGATGCAGAGCCAGTGACACCCCACGGGCGAGACTTGCGAGGCAAGGGCCCAAGGGACGGGCTGGACCATGGGGGAGGGGAGCTGCTCTGCTACTGGGGGTGGGGGTCTGAAGGGCCTCGGTGAGTGAGGGTCCTTCAGAGACCTTGATCTGGGAATCCTTCGACCTGAGCCAGCCCCAGCGTCCCCATGAACCTTCCCTCACCGTCATCCTTCTTTCCGAAGCACGGCTTCTTGGCTGGAATCAGGAAAAGCAGGAAGCCGAGGAAGACAGAGACCGTGGCGTCGGTGCGGTAGCCTTTCCTAGCAAAGAGACAAGCGTGGCTGGAGGAGGAGGGTCAGGAGCCTCCCTGGTAGCAGGTAAATGGAGGAACAGGTGTCTCAGGATGGACAGTCTGAAGACAACGCCCCTTTTTAGGACTTAGTGTAGAGGTGACACTTCCTCTGGCCAGTTGCCACCACACTCCCCCACGGTGGATTGAATGGGGCAATGGTTAATGTCCAGAGGCAGGGTCCAGCTAACGTGGATTGGTTGTTAGCTGTCGGCCAGTCGGCCCGTGACTCATGGCGGCCCATGCACAATGGAACAAAACACTGCCTGGTCCTGCACCATCCCCATGATCGCCTGCAGATCTGACCGTTGCGATCCATAGGGTTTTCACTGGCTGATTTTTGTAAGTAGATCACTAGGTCTTTCTTCCTAGTCTGTCTTAGTCTGGAAGCTCTGCTGAAACCTATTCAGCATCACAGCAACACACAAGCCTCCAATGACAGATGGGTCATGGCCATGCATGAGGTGCCCTGGCAGGGAATCAAACCTGAGTCTTCTGCATGAGAGGTGAGAATTCTACCATTGAGCCACCACTGCCCCCTTTCTCCAAAGACTGCAGCTTCCCTAAGAAAAGTGACCATCCCAAGGACCATAACGTCTCCTGGCTTCATGTCTACCCCAGGAGTCTATGAAGGGACACCGGTGGCTACTGCCTGACAGTGGCGTATCTAGGGTATTGTACCAGCCCTGGGTGTGTGGCGCCACTGAGCAGTTTCTACTAACCTGGTACAGCCCAACGTCCTTCCTCAAGCACGGTAATGTGTAAAATTAAGATTAACAAGCTTGACTTGTATATTTGAGCTGATATCATGGTAAAGCTATCTAGAAGAGGGGTGTCAGATGTTTGGAAAGGGGCACAATGTCAGTGCTTGCCACGGGCGCCATTTTCTGTAGACACACCGCTGGACATGCTGGGTTAATAGGAGCTGCTCAGTGGCGCCACGTGTCCAGGGTGGGTGCATTACTGGCCATACCCTAGTTATGCTTCAGAAGAGCTTGGGTGAGGGGCTTGTTCTTGAGGAAGAGATGACATTACTTACTTCTCAAAGAAGGAATCCCAGCCCGGGACAAAGCCAGGTTCCCTCGTGAACCACAGCACCGTCATCAGGATGAAGAAAAACCCAGTCACCATCTCAGGGTAGCTATCAAATGAAACAGAAAGACCCCTCTAGGACTGGGAAGTTCCTTTTCGCTTCCCATTTTGCTTCTGGGTGCTCCTATCCCTTGGGGTCCCTGATACTGGAGACACGACGTGCCATTCCTGCTCAAACCATTGTGAATGACTGAGAATGAACTGAGAAGAGGGCTGCGATAATGCCAGAAAAATACTAAAGTAGTCGTGCTCACTGGAGAAATGTAGGTGGGTAGGGAAGGCTAACACAGTACTGTAAACTTATCAAATAAAATACAGCCTAGGACGCAAGGAGAGTGCATGAGATGGGTGCCTGCCAACACCGGGCTTGGCGTGACCTTCATGAGGGATCTGAAGACAGGCATCAGGAGCCTGCAGAACGTGCATTCCCTTCATCCAAGGAACATAACCAGAAATGCACACAGATGCATTACTTATGAAAAAATGAAACAACCTAAACATCCAATGACGCTCCACGACATCGAGTATATTTTTGTATATAGCTATACGTTAAAACGAGACGCACCCATTAATAATCATGTTTACAAAGAAGAGTTAATGACATGAGAAAATAATAACTGTATAATGCTAAGTGGGAGCCCTGGTGGCACAGTGGTTAAAAGTTCGGCTGCTAACTAAAAGGTCGGCAGTTCGAATCCACCAGCTGCTCCTTGGAAACCCTATGGGGCAGTTCTACTCTGTTCTGTAGGGTTGCTATGAGTTGGAATCGACTCGACGGCAGTGGGTTTGGTTTTATTTTTAATGTTAAGTGAAAAAGGCAAGATATAAAACTATATTCAGTATGGACTGAATTTTACCAAAATGCATCTAATTGTGCACAAAAAACTGTGGAAAGGAAGTGCACAGTATTCGCAGGTAACACTGGGATACCAGCGACACAAGTAGTAAACGTCAATTTTTTTTTGTACTTTTCTATAGTTGTCAAAATTTCCTACAGTGAACGTGTATTTTATAAATGAAAGTTAAAAAAAAAATACAGTTGATACCTGAACCCTTTTGCCAAGACAAAGTTGCACATGCCGATTGCCATCATAAAGCCAATAACCAGTGGCTGTCAAGTTGATTCTGACTTATAGTGACCCCATGTGTGTCAGAGTAGAACTGTGCTCCACAGGGCTTTCAATGGCTGATTTTTTTGAAGTACATAACCAGGCCTTTCTACTGAGGTGCCTATGGGTGGACTCAAACCTCCAACCTTTTGGTTAGTGGCTGAGGGCCTTAACCATTTTCACTACCCAGGGACTCCACCAATTTCCAGAAAAGGAGAACTACCACTGGATAGGATGCTGGGTCACTATGGACAAGCTAATACAAATGGCAGAGGGTTGGTTAGTAATTTCTTGACTTTCTATCTTTAAGTCAGTATTTAATGCTGGCTTTGCCCTAAAAATAATACAAAGTCCCCTCTCTCACTAGGACTGACCACTGGACCATGGTGGGGGCCCATTCTGAGGAATGTGGGGAGTCTTTGACTTTTGAAAGGAATGCAGCATGTTCCAAGTCGGTGGAAAAGCTGCCCCTATGTACAACATTCCACCCACACACAAAGGCCATACCTTGGACTCAGAACCCAGAGAAAGGGAAGGGCGGCCACCTGACATCCAGGCCAGCTTGACTTTGGCATTCAACGGCATCTTCTAAATGGCTGGATTCATGGTTGTGGAAAACTACCCCCACCTGAGACCAGCAAGAACAAGGCTGCATCTGTGCTCACTCTACCTGCCACGTGCTCGCCCCCGGAGGACGAGAGAAGGCCAACGGCTGATTTTACCTGATGTCGCCCAGCTTTTCATACTCCTCTTGGATCCTCTTCTCTGACAACTCTTCCCTTTTGGTCTTCTTCTTCTTGCTCAGAGAGCAAGTCTCTTTAAAACTGAGAAGGGAGAATAAGCACAAGAAAAAAAAAAAACAAGCTTCTGTGGCTTGGAGGAGATCAACCACAAAGCAAACGCTAAACTCCCTGCTTGCTGGGATCACTTTTCTCCTCTTCATGCACACCCTCTGCCGCTCTGTCCCCCAACTTTATACACCTTTCATCGGCCAAGTTTCACAGCCTCGCATCAACCTTCTCCCTTGTCTCTTGTGTATGCCCACCTGGGGAAATCTCTGCTGTATCAGTGTGAGTCCCTGGGTGGTGCAAACAGTTAATGCACTCAGCAAAGTTTGGCAGTGTGAGTCCACCCAGAGGTGCCTTGGAAGAAAGGCCTGGCACAATCTACTTCTGAAAAAGCAGCCATTGAAAACCCCATGAAGCACAGTTCTACTCTTGACACACATGGGAGCACGCTGAGTCAGAGTTGATGGTAACTGGTTGGTTATCAACGTGAAGTTAACGTCTTATGGATTTTTGCAAGTGTACGTATATGGGGTTGTTTATATATACTTGTCTTTGTGTCCATAATAAAAACCAGTGTGATGTGGTATATGTGTGTAGATGTTTACATATTTGTGTGTTGCACACACACATGTATATGTGTGCCTGTGTTTGTCTAGAGACAAGGCTTGTCTAGGGCAAAAGTGGATGTTAGTTTTTTATGAGCAACACTGGAGTTATAGATGTGTACAGCCACCATTGATTTGATGACAGTCTCAGTAAAACATCAGCCACAGAACATTCCTTGACCAACTGGAGTGTTGAGGTCCATGGACCACTGACAAAGCATCATACATATCTTCCCTTTATGTGTTTGAAACTGATCAAATTTGGAGTAAACTGATAGAAAGCTTATCAAGTAGATTAATATTAGGAATATTTCTAGCAGAATGCCTAATTTACTTTGAGAGATGTGAACATATTCCATACAAACTACTATGTGTAAACCACTTGTGTCTATAAAAATTAAGCTTAAGGCTACTTCTGCTTGGAGTCATGTCTTTAGAAGTTAGTTGGAATTGCTCTATATATTTTGAAAGCATTAAACACTCTCCAATTTAGACTTTTTAGAAACCTGAGAGGCCCTCTAACCAATGAGTTGGAATGGAGATCAATTCACTGCAGAGCTTGCGGTGAAGAGCTGAGTTCATGTACGAGGCTATCGTGACGAGAACAGAGGGCTTGGTTCACTGCGTGCTCCCCGTCACCTCTGTGGTTGCTCTGCAGTGCCCCCTGAAGGAGAGTCCTCCATGGCCCGTGCATCTACAGCAGAGCCTCAGCTGCCTGCTGCTGGGCCCTGGAACTCACTTGCAGCCCAGGAACAGCCAATGCATCCAGAACCAGCTGACCACCAGCATGATGAGGGAGATGGGGAAGCTGAAGAGGAACCAGGTGCCGAAGTTGACCACCTCTGCGGCCGGATACTGGCTGGAGGGTAAAGAACCAGGTCAGTGATCAGAAAAGGGTGGGTTTCCACATGGCATTCTGGAGTAATAAGCTCAATATGCCTTAGGAAGACACACAGCAGAGCTAAGGGGTAGATATAACAGTAACAATATCTAGACATGATAAACATTATCTTGAACTCACTTATTTGACAGCTGCAACTCTACAGAGCCCCACAAGGAATCATGAATTAAGTTAAAAAAGGCATCAAAGTAATCAAAATTGATATCGATAAACTGTATATAAGGCACCCTGTTGGCACAAACAGTTAAGCACTTGGCTGCTAACCTAAAGGTTGGCGGTTTGAACCCACCCAGCGACTGTGGGAAAAAGACCTGGCAATCTGCTTCCATACAGATTAAACCCATTGCCGCCGAGTTGATCATGACTCAGTGACCCTATACGACTGAGCAGAACTGCCCCATAGGGTTTCCAAGGCCGTAACCTTTATGGAAGCAGATTGTCACGTCTTTCTCCCACAGAGCGGTTGGTGGGTTCAAACTGCCAACCTTTCTGTTAGCATCCAATTGCTTAACCACTGTGCAACAGGCCTCCCATAAAGATTGTTGTTGTTAGGTGCTGTCCAGTCAGTTCTGACTCATCGTGACCCTATGTACAACAGAACAAAACACTGCCCAATCCTGTGCCGTCCTCACAATCCTTGCTATGTTTGAGCCCACTGTTGCAGCCACTGTGTCAATCCACCTCCTTGAGGGTCTTCCTTTTTTTCGCTGACCCTCTACTTTACCAAGCATGATGTCCTTCTCCAGTGACCGGTCCCTCCTAATAACATGTCCAAAGTACTTGAGACGAAGTCTCCCCATCCTTGCTTCTAAGAAGCATTCTGGCTGTACTTCTTCCTAGACAGATTTGTTTGTTCTGGCAGTCCATGATATTTTCAATATTCTTCACCAACACCATGATTCAAATGCATCAAATCTTCGGTCTTCCTTATTCATTGTCCAGCTTTCGGCTGCATATGAGGCAACTGAAAATACCATGGCTTGGGTCAGGTGCACCTTAGTCCTCAAAGTGACAGTTTTGCTTTTTAAAACTTTAAAGAGGTATTTTGCAGCAGCTTTGCCCAATGAAATATGTTGTTTGATTTAAAAAATTTTTTTTATTGTTGTAGTTTAAATAAAGTTTATATTTCAGTATAGTCTTCCATACAAAAATTTAGACATACATTGTTATGTGACCCTAACTGCTCTCCCCATACTCCTCATTTCCACCCCTGATTCCCCATGTCCATTCAACCAGCTCCTAACCCTCTCTGCCTTCCCATCTCACCTTGGGACAGAAGCTGCCTGTTTAGTCTCTTGTATCTACTTGAGCTAAGAGGCACACTCCTCATGAGTATCACTTTATGTCCCACAGTCCAGTCCAATCCCTGTCTGAAG